CAGTATTTTGAGTTGGGGAATTAAATAACTTATTTTTATTTTTTGTAAAAATGTTTCAGACAATGAATTTTCTTATCTCTGCTTTATCTATATCCCACAAATGCAGATAGATATTTTTATTATCTTTTTTTATAGAAATTACATAATTTATATTTATATTTCCCCTGTCACCTAAGATGTTTTTAATAGAGGGTTTTTAAATTTTCAGGTAGAAAGGTCTTTCTTAGTTTCATTACATAATGAAAACATATGTTTTATATTGGTTTGATAGAACTTAGAGGTTTTTGTTGTTTTTGTCTAATATCCTAACTTTTTTCTTTATTTTTATTTTAGAGAGATAGTGGAGGGAGAGACAGAGGGAGAGAATCTCAAGTAGACTCCCTGTGGAGTCCAAGGCAGCAATCTCCCCACACAGAGATCATGACCTGAGCCAAAATCAAGAATCAGATGTGTGTGTGTGTGTGTGTGTGTGTGTGTGTTTTAACGTTAGTCACACAGAGAGAGAGAGAGGCAGAGACACAGGCAGAGGGAGAAGCAGGCTCCATGCACGGGGAGCCCGATGTGGGACTCGATCCCGAGTCTCCAGGATCGCGCCCTGGGCCAAAGGCAGGTGCCAAACCGCTGTGCCACCCAGGGATCCCAAGAATCAGACATTTAATCCACTGAGCCATCTGGGTGCTCTATATCCTTTTTTCTTCATTCTAGATCTAAATAACTTCAAAAATTTTAAAAGATATTATTTATTTATTCATGAGAGACAGAGAGAGAGAGAGAGAGAGAGAGAGAGAGAGAGAGAGAGAGAGAGAGAGAAGCAGAGACACAGGCAGAGGGAGAAGCAGGCAGCCCAACATGGGACTCAATCCCGGGTCTCCAGGATCATGTCCCAGGGGGAGGGCGGTGTTGAACCACTGAACCACCCGGGCTGCCCTAGCTCTAAATAACTTTAGAAGAAATAATTTCAATTTGCCAATCTCTCCCTACTTTCAAAGTGAAAATATCAATAAAGGTCTTTATTTCATTTACAAATGCAATTATCAGCACCAGCTATAAGTCTAAAACTTATATTTAATAAAAATAGAAGGCATAAAATATTGACCTTGCTCAATAAATGTATTGAATAGTGTATATGCAATAAAAGCTTTGAAAACCATGACTCTTTGGGTGCTGCTTATATTTTCTTTTTCTTATGTAGTTTTCTGCCGAGGTAATATTGTCTTAATACTTCTGACTGTTTTTAAATTATGAAGACATCAACATTATGCATTTTTCAACAACTGCATATTTTGTGGATCTTTGTGTGTACTTTGCTTATCTCAGCATATGATGTGTAGATTTGCTTTTTAATTTTTCAGGCACTGGGTTTATTTCTATTTTTACTCTTCTCTAAATAATATTTAATTCTACAGATAAAGTTAGCTTTGACCTGGGAATTTCCAGCAAAAGATACAATGGTTTGACTGTCCTTTTTCATTGTCTTTGAAACCACAAGATCTAATTTAGTTGAAGATGATATAATTTGCTTTCACAAACCCAAAATATTGCCATCTTAAATGTTGATTGTATGGTCTAGTATTTATAGTCTCATATATTTTTAAAGATTTTATTTATTTATTTGAGGAAGAATGAGAGCATGAGCAGGTGGGAAGGGACAGAGAGAGGGAAAGGAACAAGCAGGATTACCACTTAGCAGGGAGCCTTATATGGGGCTTGATCCCAGGATCCTGAGCTGAAGGCAGATACTTAAAGGAATGAGCCACCCAGATGCCCCTAGAGTCTAGTATTTATTAGTTATGTATTTCCAGTCTAGTTTCTATATAGTTAGGTAATTTATCTCTTTCAAAAAGTTTATTTTCTATTTTTGAAAAATTTTTAAATTTTAATCTTAGTTAACATACAGTGTTATATTAGTTTCAGGTGTACAATATAGTAATTCAAGACTTCATACATCACTCAGTGCTCATCAGGATAAGTGCACTCCTTCAACCCCATCACCTATTTCACCTGTCTCTCCCTCTTTCCCATAACCATCAGGTTAACAGTTTTTATTTTTTTAAATTAAACTCAGTGGGTTCAGTATTATGTTTCTAGGAAATTTTTCATTTAAATAATCTTACAAGGGATGCTTGGCTGCCTCAGTGGTTGAGCATCTGCCTTCAGCTCAGTTCATGATCCCAGGGTCCTGGGATCGAGTCCCACATCCGGCTACTTGCCGAGAGCCTGCTTCTCCCTCTGCCTATGTCTCTGCCTCTCTGTGTCTCTCTCATGAATAAATAAATGATATGTTTAAAATAAATAAGTAAAGCAAGTAAAAATATAAAAATATTTTGCATATTTAATTCATTTTTGTACTTCCAATATTTTCATTATATACCTACATAGTCCATTAATTTCCACAAAAATCCACAAGTAAACTTAAAATTTAACATACATCTTTCTACCTCATTCTCAGCTGTTTTAGCATCTAGTAGGATGGCAATATACGTAGCTGGAGTCTGCGTGGAGTAGATGCATCCCACATATGAACTTATGAAGCTTAGTGCTTCTTAAGCCTGCAAAGACAGAATGATATTTAAATAACTCATCTTTTCTCTTTTTTTCCCATTACATGTTCCTGCTTGTTTTCTTTATGACATTTATAGTGTGTAAAATGTAGTTTACTTGTTGGCCTATTCACTGTCATAATTTATGGCACAAATATTTGTTGAAGGTCTCCTATGTGTGAAACACTGCCGAGTGCTGGGAATGCAGCTGTGAAGTGAACTAGAGAGGCAAGATCCTACTAGAATATGACCTTTCTGAAGATAAGGCCTGGAGCTGAGGTTGGTCAGCTTGGCAGGGAGCCTGGTATCAAAGGTTCCCAGACCTAGGGAGAAGCTGCTGCTGGGATGAGCTGGGAACCAAAATTCTTGGGAGCTTGATGGAAGCCTTGTGCCATTGGAACTGCCTAGGGTTGAAGGAGCCTGCCAGAATTCTGGAGCCATAGGAGCCCCCTGGAGCTGTGGAAGCCTACAGAATCCAGGATAGATCAGCAGACGAGGTTCATGGGGGTCGGCTGGGAGTTTGAAGTCAAGGATGCTGCCTCAAGCTTTGGGATCTAGTTGGGGCCTCTGGATCCAGCAACACTGGTGTGAGCTGGAGGCAGCGTTTGCCAGAGTCCACAGGGAGCCCCCTTGTGCTTCAAGAGGTGACCTGGTGCTGAGGTGGGCCAACTCTGAGATCTGTGGTCAACTCAAGTGCTCACTTCACTCTATTTACCCCATGGTCCATGCTGAGCTACCTAGGCCTATGTTGTTCAAGGGTCAGTTGTATATGGACAGTTGATTTTTGACAGTGGTGGAGAGACAACTCAATAGAGAAAGAATAGTCTTATCAACAAATTGCAGTAGAAAAATTGATGTCCATATTTTTTTAAAAATGAAGTTTGATCCAGACTTTTTCAGTGTATTCAAAAAGTAACTCTCCAATTTATCATGGACCCAAAAAAAGAAATTAGAAAATGTTGAGAAGATGTACAAGAATCTGAAGACATATTTAAAAGTTATCCACCTATCTCATGATCCAGCCTTTCCATTTCTATATGCCCACAAGAAAAGAAAGCAAGTCTCTTCAAGACTTGCACATGAGCATCCATAGTCAATTTATGTGTAATGGCTAAAACCTAACTGGCTAAACCAACAGTATTGATGAATCTCAAAGTAATTAGGCTAAGTGAAAGAAGACAGAAGTGTACACACTGTGATTCTGCTTATATAAATCTAGAAAATGCAAACTGATCTATAGTGACAGCAGATCAAACTTCAACTTCCTCTGTTATAAAATGACTGTAATCATTATATGTTATCCCATGAGGATATTTGATAAAACTTCAATGATATAGGTAAGCATTTAAAATGTCAGTGTTGGAAAAAAAAATAAAATGTCAGTGTTGGTTACAGGGTGATGTCAACAAAATGGCAACATAGAAATTTCTAGCACTCATCTCCCACCCAAAGACAACATTTACAAAAATACCTTCACAAGAGCCAAGGATTCTAGATGAGGGATACAGCAATTGAGTGAAGCACAGAAATAAGAAAAGACACAGTAAATATTCACACTCTACCACCTTCACATCCTCCAGGCCTAGGCAGCTCAGCATGTGAGCAGCAGCAGCTCCTCCCTAGTTCTGGGAACCTCCTTTGATACCAGGCTCCCTGACAAGCTGACCAACCTCAGCTCCAGGCCTTATCTTCAGAAAGGTCATATTCTAGTAGGATCTTGCCTCTCTAGTTCACTTCACAGCTGTATTCCCAGCACTCAGCAGTGTTTCACACATAGGAGACCTTCAACAAATATTTGTGCCATAAATTATGTCAATGAATAGGCCAACAAGTAAACTATATATTACACACTATAAATGTCAAAAAGAAAACAAGCAGGAAGATGTAATGGAAAAAAAGAGAAAAGATGAGCTATTTAAATATCATTCTGTCTTTGTAGGCTTAAGAAGCAGTACTAGGCTCACAGGTTTCTATTCTAAAAGATAATTTTGTTTAAAGAGGAGATCATAAGACAAAGGTAGATTTCAATTTTTGAATTTTATTTTTTATCCAAGTACAAATTCATGTAGCAGGAATGACAATGATGTTACAGTGTCTTTCTCTCTTTTTTCTTTCTCTTTTTTTTTTGCATGTTGTTTGAGGAAACATGTACTTCTCCATTTTAATTCAAAGTTCTAGTGACCAAAGGTCTATGGTTCTACAACCTTTAAAATTCTCAACTTGATTCTATTCATTAAGTTTAAAGTACAGAATTTTTATCAAAGTCCAAAGCTGTCGTCATCGACTATGCTGTTCGTGTAAATTGCTGTATGAAAGATTTCTATAGATCCAAGAGAATAGGATGCCTTACAGTGTGGAACTGTATTCGTAACTAACGTGCCTACAATTTTCCCTGTGGTATGTGTCAATTCAATGATGTAACCTTCTTCACTTAGTCCTGTGCAATGCACCCTGGGCATCTCAGTAAATTTTGTTTTCACATAGGCAAGTAGCCTTGCACTTTTCCTTTAGCAATTCATGCTCACATCCAGCTGTCTTCTTTAAAGAATCACAGTTACTAAGCAGATCTTCATACTCGCAACTATTGGCTGTGAGAAAAAAAAATGAGTTCCTCATTATCATTTTCCTCACTAAGAGCAAAACAATCCATACATTCAAAGTACATGAGACAGGTAGAACTGGACAAAACAAATCAACATCAGTTACACAATGATGGGCTTACCCTTTCTTGAGGGACATATCAGGTGCCTTAGTTGAAGCCACTGATTAAACCACCATTTTAAAAAATTTTGAACTTGGTAGTATGTTTCTAATATAAATTTCCCCATTTTTCTCCCTTAGCCAAGAAAGCTAGATAAATATAAATAAATCTCTCCACATGCAGTCTAATATGAGAACCGCTAGTCAAATACAGATATTTAAATTTAAATTATTCTAAATTAGACAAAGTAAACAATTTAGTTCCTTTTTTTAAAACAATTTAGTTCCTTAATCTTACAACCATATTTTAAGTGTTTAAAGGGCCACATGTGACTACTGACTACTTGTAAGACACATGCTGATTGAGAACATTTCCTTCATTTCATACTATTGAACAGCACTGCTTCAGACTCCAGTGCTTTCTTTCTGAAGAAAGAAATTTATATGGGAAGATAAAGATGCAAAACCATGATAATATGTCTTCTTTTCTTCTCGTATTTCTTCTTAGATCCTCCCTAGGGGCTACAATCTCAACGAATCTCAAGCTAAATGCATCATACCACCTACAAGGCTGACAATTTTTGGGTGTGGTCTCCCTCTACCCTACCCACAATCTCAGAGAAAAGGCTCTCTGACAACTCAGTAATTTAGGCCAATAACTGGACCAGTTTGAATTCTTTCTTCCCTACTTCTGACTAGCACTCAGTCAGTACAGGTAACAAATACTGGCTATTCTATTCCTTGTTTTCCAACCTCGTCCAGTTTTCTTCATTTATTTTGTCAGTAATGCATTAAAGAGACCTTTTTTCCCCCCCATGGATTTCAGTGGTTTTCTAGCTGGCTTCCATCCAATTGTTTTTTTATACTATTGCTAGAAAGCTCTTTATAAAACATAGTTCTGTCCCTGTCACTCTTATTTAAAATCTTTCAATTGAGTGCTTATTGATAATAGATGAATTCCAAGCTTCTTACCAAATAGCATTCAGAAGAGCTATAAATATGTAACTTTTCCTTCTTTAGTTGATTTTACAGCTTTAATATAATCAATATTCTGAATTATAGCTATATAGTTCAGTCAGTAAGAATGTTGACCAATGATGAATGCAGTTGAAGGGTAAAAATCTCAATGAATGAGATTCATCCCCTCTATTATTCATAATAATTTTATACAAGTATCCCAACCATAAAAAGCTAACAGCTATTTTTATTTCTTTTCACTACAACTTTAGAAATTACATATATGACATTTATTTTAGTCTCTTCATTTGCAACAATATTTTTGTGGGTTCTGTGAGCCAACATTATATATAGATTTGATTTTGTCATTAAAAATGTGCAGTAAACTACTATCAAATTATAGGGAAAATGATTATTAAGTTAAATATTATGATTCTAATTATACTATAGAAAAAAGTAGTTGGCATAATGAATTCTTAGCACAAAAGTAACATAATATTTGGTTTGCCTGTCTAGATTGAGCTATATTGTGATCTTATACCTACAGACTTGCATTTCAAAATAGGACTTTTGACATAATGTCACTAACTTTGATGAAATGAATTATTTACCAGAAACATGTATAATTAATATTAATGGGCCATGCATAGTCACAAAAATATGTTGACAGTAGATCTTTCATTATCTTACATATGGTAATATTCTTTTTTGTTACAAATAATATGTAGGTTACTAAAGTGTGTAAAATGTTTACATAAACACACACTGTTCCGTAACATAATTGTCTTCTCCATAAAGATATTACTTATGTTGGTTACTTTAGCAGATTTCTTACCCATGAAAAGAAAATGAAATATCAAACTTTTATTATAATAGCAGGGCAATCACTTCAAACTTACTGCATAATCCATTGTCACAGTTACCAGGGCAACTAGCACAAGGTGTTCCTTGTTGGTAAGGGTTATTCTTTTTACTCACATTATTGCCACTGAAATTTAAAACACATAATGTCAAATATTTGTCACTTTATAGTTTAGCTTATACTCCCCAAGAGCAGTACAAATTACTAAATATTTTCAGTTACATTAAAAAAAACTGAAAAATTACAACTCCCAGTGAGCAATTCAGGTAACATTCAAATTAAGAAAATACTTCACATATTGACCCATCTTCTTGACTATAATTCTTCAGGCTGAGCAACTAAATCAGATTAATTGGAGTCTTAAGTACCTAGAGCATCTTTCCATGTGGCAACATTCTCTTCATCTGCCAACAGATTCAGTCAAATTGGTATGGCAGTACAGCCCTATGTGCTAGCTAGAGGTAGAACATATCCATCAGAGAGCCAAAAGAACTCCTGGGAAGCAGGAGGTTGCTGTTTAGAAAAAACTGTTTAATGTTACAACATCATTTTATATCTAAAAGATAATAAAATACAAAATCTCTCTAGTAGAAACCAGAAACAGTAAAGCTCCAGTACATAAATACATATAATTTTACCTTCCAGATGGAGGTATTGATATTTAAGTAGTGGTATGTATTACTGGGACAGGGAAAGAAAGAAATTTGTGAGTTTCTAGAGTTGGTATGTGAGAAATTTTTATGTTTCCCAAAAAGGGAATGTTCATTGAAAAGTTTTGACAAGCATGAGTGCAATCACATACAGTTACAACTCACTGGTGATCATTACTACTGGGCATTTAGTTCATCTGAAATACAAGAGAGTCCAATCTCAGTATGTCAAGTGAGCCAAGAACACAAGGCCATGCATCTGAAACTCAGTTCCTTCACAGAATATAGGTGAACATGTGTAAGAAATGTGGGTAAGACAAAAACATATTATGGCAGTTCTGAAAAAATGTGAAAGACACAAACATATTCTGGAAGCTCTCTCACCACTGCTTTCCATCATTATTCACTCCAGCTCTCACCTCAGATGCCTGGCTCCAGATCCTCCTCTCTTAGAGCCAGCCAGTGGATGCACTATTATAGGATTTCAATTCTTTCTACTATACCCTAGTAAGTGCCTGCAGGAAAATGACGTTGGAGGTCTACTTCTCACCCTGGAGATGCATATGCTCCAGTTACCTATAGTCTAAAAATAAATCCTGTAGGAGCCTGGTTTTAGGGGCCTCCTTGACTCCAGTGGCAAGGAATTTCAGACATTGAAAGAGATTAAGGTTAACAGGTATATTGAGATTAGATTTTCATTATATCCACAGAATTTATTATGGGTAAGTTCAAACATGATCCCTGATGAAAAACATATTTCCTGCTGCAAGCTAGGACCTTAAAGCATGGCTCATTGTGGAGAATTGGTGAAAACTTCTGAAAACCAAAACTTCTGAAGATGTTCTTTTCTGGACTCTGAAGCACATTAAAGATCTCTTGAAAAACCTTTGAGACCCAAAAGAAGGAATTCTCTGTGATGGTAATAATGTAGGTGGTTTTTTAGATAAGCAGGGCAAGGAATATCTTAACAGGAAGAACCGAAATCTGTCATCCCCTACTTGTCATTCCACTACCTGCCCTTGCTTATCTATTAAGCTGCCATTCTCTAGAGTATGAAGTTAGTGAGAATTGATGCTATCAAATCTAGGGAAATGTGCACTACCCATGCTCATGGATAGCCATGAGCCCAAGGGAAAGGCGACTGAGAGAAAAGATGTCACTTTGTAACTGAGGACAGAGAGCTTCAGATTTTGTATTTGGAATGGAGAACATAGTCTCTTCCATGATAATTTGAATGTATCTCAACTTAAAAGCATTTCCAAAGATTTATTCCTTCTGGATGGACCTAGAGGGTATTATGCTAAGTGAAATAAGTTGGACAAAAAAAAAAAGAAATAAGTTGGACAGAGAAAGACAGATACCATATGATTTTACTTACATGAGGATTCTAAAAAATAAAATAAAAAGCAGAAACAGATAATAAGTACAAGAACAAACTGATATTTGCCAGAGGGGCAGGAATGGGAAGATGGGCAAAAGAGTTGAAGGGAAATGGGAGATACAGGCTTCCAGTTATGGAATAAATGAGTCATGGGGATAAAAAAGTACAGCACAGGGACTATAGTCAATGGTTTAAAAGCATTGGATGGCAACTGGTGATAGCTACCCTTGTGGTGAGCATAGCATAAAGTAGAGACCTGTCACTATGTTAAACACCTAAAACTAATGTGACATTGCATATGAACTACGTAATGATTTTTAAAAATGAAAAAAGGATTTATTCCTTCCCTTCACTGAATTATGTTTTATATTCTAGTTTGTTTACTATACAAGAATTTTCAAATATTAAATTGCATTTAGTGGTATTGCACTACCCTCTAAGGTATATACTTACGCAGGACAATATTGGCAAACATAGTAGTATTTTAGACTCTCTTGATTGGGACAATAGGCAATTCCACATCCAACACGATAAGAAGAGTACCAAACAAGCTACAAATCCAGAAAGGAATATATGAAAGTACATTAAAGAGGGAAAATATTGAAAAAAAATAGTGGCAAATGTAAAACAAAAAAATGTTACTATTATAGTCGGTAGCCAGGTACCCTTCAAAAATAATTAGTTCAATTATTGAAACAAATCACAAATTTTAAAATACTGTATTTTAATGTCCATTAACTATTTTATCCATTTCTAATTCTGAAAAAGTATAGAACATGCTTCCTTCCCAAGAGTTATACCAGCAATGGAAAAAAATGACAGCTCTAGATGAAGTACCAGCCAAGACTATTATATCTATTCAGGCTCTTACCCAAATTGAACATTGGACTTGGTCATAATTCAGAGATGCTTTCATATTAAAGCATTTGTGATGGAAGTATTTTCATTCTTACCTGGGTGTAATGTCCAACAACTGCACTGGAACTCTTTGGTCCTACACCATAGACAAAATTATGGCGCTCCTCATACCAGTTTTGGATTGCATCTGACCAGGAGGTAGGGTCACTTGACATATAGAGATTCTCACCACATTTTGTACCTAAAGAGGAATGGATTGTTCTTGAAGAAGCAATAAACATGCAATGGCAAAAAATATCAACTATATGAACACAAGGATGTTGCCCTTCAAACACAGTGCCTATACTCATAACTGTTAATACATAATAAAAAGGCTTCTGTATTTCTCAGCCCTAAAGCTGAATAGAAGACAGATCTGTCTTGGTACACCTGGATGGCTTAGTGGGTTAAGAAACTGACTCTTGATTTCAGCTCAGGTCATAATCTCAGGGTCCTGAGATTGAGCCTTACACATCAGGCTCTCCAACTCAACAGGGAGTCTACTTGAGGATTCTCTCTCTCTCCTTCTCTCCCTGATCCAGCCCTCTACTTACACACATTCTCTCTCTAAAATAAATAAATAAATAAATAAATAAATATTTTAAGACAGATCTGTCTAGCATGCTGAGGTTGTCATCAACATGCATAACTTGGAATAGGTTAAGAAGACCTTATGCTTTAATAATCCTCTGGAGTATCAGAGATACATTCTTTTTTATGCTAAATTCTTCACATATGTAATGTCTCCTGTGCTCTCAGCTTTGTACTGTAAATTTGCAAAAGACACTGACCAACTTTTTCTTCTTTTTCTCTTCCTGTTGTCTGCCTTCACCAGAGATTTTGCACATATCGGACCCTTTCTAAGTGTTTATGATTATGATTTTGTGTGCACTTGGAAAAAAGTTCTACAAGCAGTCTCTAAGGGCTCCAATTAAGAGGCAACTGACATCAGGATAGATGGCAGATTTCAAAGCTTTTGGGTCCTCTCTTAATCACTAAATCAGAATGTCCTAAGGCCAAATCTTATTAGGCAAAGAAGAGCCTTGCAGATGGTGACATCAGCAAGATGGTGGAGTAGGAAGCCCTGGACTCTCCTTCCTCTAACAATTACCAGCAACAATTCCTAAACAATTTGCCCTTGAGGGAAATCCAAAAGTACCCTGGGAGAATATGAACCCAGACTCACTGCCCCTGCAGGGAAACTGGGACACCCTCTTGCTAGAATGCCTACGTTCAGCCCAGTGCCTGTCATCTGATCAGGAAAGTGTCCCCTAGCTCCCAGCTTCTCCCAGGGGAAGCAAATAGTTGGTTCATGTGTCCAGTGTTCCAACCTTCTGTAAGGAAGCTTGCCAATTGTCTGGCTTCTTGCAACTCTGACAGTCAGGCAGAGGCTAGCCCCCCCCCCCCCCAGACCAGAATGGAGATGGTGGCATTGGCGGTAAGTACCATATTTCTTTCCCTTGGCTCAACACAGAGCAAGTAATTGAAAAATCTTAGTTCTCAGCTTCCTCCTGGGGAAGCAAAGAGTTGATTGATGTGCCCAATGCTCCAATTTCTCCAAGGCTGCCTAAAGACCTGACATCTGTCTTGCCAGTCTTGGACCTCTGATGGGTTTGGCATAGTTACAGTGCTGCACCCTGAGTGAGAGCAGAGACGGTGGTTTGGATTGGTAGATGCCAATGATCCTCTCCCCAGCTCAGCACAGAGCAAGTAGACAACACCACTGCTGCCCGTTTCCCCCTTGGGAGGGAAAAAGTTGGCCTGTGCATCCAATGCCACAGGTTTTCCAGATACTGCTTGAAGAATTGACTTCTGACTTGCCTCTCTAAGAATGTTAACAGGCCTAGCATAACCAAGATTTGGAGCCATGAGAATAGAGATTTGGGTTCATAGTTGCCATAGCTTTCCTTCCTAGTTCAGCACTGAATGAGCAGATAAAAATCCCAAGCTTCTAGCCTCTTCTTAGATAAGGAAAGAGTTGGATGGAATGCCCAAAGATCTGTCTTTTTTCAGAAGGTTGCTTGAGGAATTTACAATAGATCTTTTCTGACCACAATTTTAATAGACATTCTCTAAAGTGTACAAATGGCCAACAGGTATGTAAAAAGGTACTCAATATTTCTCATCACAGGGAAATGCAAATCAAAACCACAATGAGATATCATCTTATATCTTTTATGATGTCTATAATGCGGAAAGAAAAGGACAACAAGTGACGATAAGGATGTGAAGAAATTGGAATCCTGTACACCTTTGGTGCACAAAAAAATGGGGTAGCTGCTGTGGAAAAAAGTATAGAAGTTCTTCCAAAAATTAAAAGTAGAACTACCAAATGGTCCCGTAATGCCACCTCTGAGTATTTATTCAAAAGAATTGAAATCAGGATATTGAAGAGATATTAGCATTCTTCATATTCATTGTGGCACTATTCACAATAGTCGGTATATGGAAACTAAAATCCATGGACAGATGAATGGAGGAACAAAATGACACACATATATACACCATGGATGTCATTAATCCTTAAAAAAGAAGGAGATTCTGCAATAATTAAGACAATGTGGATGAATCTTGAAAACATGATATTAAGTGAATTAAGCCAGTCATAGAAAGACAACAATTGCATGATCCCATTTATATGAAGTAACTTAAATAGCCAAATTCATAGAATTAGAGTAGAACAGTGATATCCAAGGATGGGGGGAAGGAGAAATGGGGAATTACCAGTCAATGGGCATAAAGTTTCAGGTAAGGAAGATGAATACTTTCTAGATGAATAAATTCTGCTATACAATATTGTACCTAAGTCAATAATATTGTTTAGTAGACCTAATTATTTGTTAAGGGTGTAGGTCTCATGTTAAGTGTTCTTACCACAATAAAATTAATAAAAAGAAAGAAGTGACTTGATGCCCAGAAACTTCTATCTTTTCAAGCTCTCAATTACTATTTATATCTTGTAGCTTGAAAAATAATATCTACATGCTGCTTAAAGAGAGTACAAGATATTCTTGGCTATCTCTTTTAATATGGATAAAAGAAACTAAGAATCTAATAGTAAACTTGCATCTTTAAGACCATTTGTTTTAATCTTCTACTGAATGCAGTCATTCTCTTCATAATTCCATTAACAGAACAACATTAACAATATAAATAATAATTGTAATGACATTACAGGTAAAAATTCATTGCTTTCAAATTGAGCTTGCCTATATATAGATTATAGTTGCTAATATAAATATTTTATTTATATTTTTTAAAGATTTTATTTATTTATTCATGAGACACACAGAGAGAGAGGCAGAGACATAGGCAGAGGGAGAAGCAGGCTCCCTGTGAGGAACCCGATGTGGGACTCGATCCCAGGATCCCAGGATCATGACCTGAGCTGAAGGCAGACACTCAACCACTGAGCCACTCAGGTGCCTAATAATATCAATATTTTATGTAAGGCTTATGGACAAAACTTTTTTTTTTCTTTCATAGTATTGATAATATTTGATAAGGATTCAAAAATTCAAAAATGAATCAACAAACCCAAATTATTTATCATGATTTTGAAAATTTAAGTATTTTTAGAGAAAAATTCAGGAATAAATCACCATAATTTATTTAGTATACCTTATGAATACAAAAGAAGAGATATAAAAACACCAAACAGCTATACAATATCACAAAAAGAGCAGTGGATTAGAAATCAATAAGCCTGATTAACTTTCCAGTATATGACACACTTCAGATTGTGTCTTGAGGAAGTCATTCCTCCCCTGGCCTCTTCTCATCTTTAAATTTGGGGAAATGATAGTACATGACCTGTTGACTCATGAGCTGGTTGGGAAGAACAAATGAAGTATTGTTTCAGCTGTTATTTGCATAATGTAAATGATTAACAAGCACAAAATAGTACCTATAATTCTCTCTCCCTCTACAGATACTTTAATTTTAAAAGAACTACAGGGGCACCAGGGTGGCTCAGTCTGTTAAGAATCTGACTCTTGATTTCAGCTCAGGTCATGATCAGGTCGTGAGATCAAGCCCTGCATTGGGCTCTGTGCTCAGTGTGGAGCCTGCTTGAGATTCTTTCTCTCCCTCCCCCTCTACTCCTTTCCCCTCTGCTTGCACTCTCTTTCTAAAAATAAATGATAACAATAAGAAATTTAAAGGAGCAGTATAAGCAACATTTATATTCTAAGTCTTTTTAGAACATCCCAGAATGTTTTATTCTATTTGATGTTTCCAATATTATTATATTTGTTCATTTATCAAACAAATATTTACTCATTTACATACTGGTTTTTCGGTCCTCTGGCACGCTGTGTTCTAAAGTGCACTTGTTTGCCCACTTTTGGGCATTTGCTGCCGCATCTCTGTTCCATTCCTAAATGTCATAAGAAAAAAAAACACTTTAAAGAGTCAACTTTAATGAAGCATATAGTTCCATGATATGATTGGTGGATTGATTTGTACTACTTTAACTTCTTTGATATATTACATAATCATCAGTGGTGTGAAACCTTTTTGTTAGCGAGGTATGTGCGTGTGTTTTTCGCTCCAGCAACAATTTCCAAATGAGGAGAAGTTCATAAATGATGTGTCTACTAAGAGAAATATCTAATATCTAATAACATGATAGTAGAGGAACCACATGTGGGATTTTTAGTGATGGGGCTACTCTAAATATTCAACATGTAAAGACTTCAAATTATAGTTCTTTAGTAATAAGCAGGCCTAGATTATTCCCTATTTCATTTGCAGCCCATTGCATTCAGATGGGAAATATGTGGTTTTTATGGACTATATCCTGGAAAGTGGGCTGTTATGTATTCTAAATGGCACTGATTTTGACAGAAAAGGGACTTTAACGGGTGTCTGGCTGGCTCAGTTGGTAGAGAATGGGATTTTTGATGTTGGGGTTCGAGCCCCAAATTAGGCATAGAGATTACTTAGAATAAAATGCGTGAAGGAAAGGGGCCTCCTTTATTTTAGACTAGGGTACATAGTGAACAAAATTGCAGTGACTTCATATTTGATGTCTGAAGATTTGGCTTCTAATTTTGCCTTCCCAACTTAAGAGCCCTGTAACCTTGACAGATTATTTAACCATTATAAGGAAAATTAGTTTCTGCTCTGCCCACATTACACAGCTCAAATGAAATAGTAAAACAGAAACAAAACTTGTAAGCAAAGTTCTTCAGAGATGCCAGTTACCAGTTCCCTGCTCTAATCACTGCTGATTCACACATGAGCCTTTATCACTGCCTCTTACCATCTTTAGCATGTTGCTGGCAGGTGGAGAGACTGATTTCCTTAGTTCATTGTGTTTATTTACAATCTCCTTCTGGACTTGCGTTTGAGTGGTTAACAAAGCAGTAAAGGATGGATCCTAAAGGGAAATAACATTAAAGTTACCCTTCTAACATTTGTTAAAATTGCATTTAAGAATGAATAAGTGAATTCAAGAGAGCAAAGATCATTCTGAAAAGCATTCAGTTCAAGTCAATATTAGTTGTTAAGCATTGCCAATGAACCTGAGCCAAAGCTATGAGAAATACGAAAGAAGTAATTTGAAGCTTTGAGAATGAGGATGAAATTCATGGCATGACAAATTAAAATCTCCTTTGAGGCCACAGATGCCAATTTCTAGTTTCAAGGGAACTCATTGTGCTTTTTCTCTTTTCATGGCCCTTTCAATCCTGTTATCTCTCTAACTCCATCCATGTTATTGCAAATGGCAAGATTTTATTCCTTTGTATGGCTGAATAATGTTTCATTATGTGTATATACACAATAATATAGCATATATATATCAGGTATGTCTGATATATAATATATGTATCTACATATATCTATACATATCTCTCTCTATATATATATACTCCTTTATCCATTCATCTATCAGTGGACACTTGGGCTGCTTCCATAATTTGGTTAATGTAAATAATTCTGTAATAAACATAGGGATTCATATATCTTTTCTAATTAGTGTTTTCATATATTTTGGGTAAATACCTTGTAGTCAAATTACTGGATCATATAGTAATTCTATTTTTAATTTTTTTGGAAAACCTCTGCATTATTTTCCACAGTGGCTGCACCAGTTTGCATTCCCATCAACAGTTCACAAGGGTTCCTTTTTCTCTACATCCTTGCCAACAATTTGTTTTTTTGTGTTGTTGATTTTATCCACTCTGACAGGGGTGAGTTGACATCTCATGGTTTTGATTTGTATTTCCCTGATGATGAGTGACATTGAACATCTTTTCATGTGTCCATTGGCCATCCATAGGTCTTTGGAGGATGTTTGTTCATGTCTTCTGTCCATTTTTAATTGAATTATTTGTGCATGTGTGTTGAGTTGTTTTGGTTCTTTATACTTTTTAGGCACTAACTCTTTATCAGATATATCATTTGCAAATATATTTGTCCATTCAGGAGGCTACCTATTAGTTTTTTTTTATTGTTCCCTTTGCTGTGCAGAACCTTTTTATTTTGTTGTTGGCCCAATATTTATTTTTGCTTTTGTTTCCCTTGCCTCAGGAGACAGATCTAGAAAAATGCTCCCTCAGCCAATGTAAGAGACATTACCATCTGTGCTATCTTCTAGGATTTTCATGGTTTCAGGTCTCATATTTAGGTCTTCAATCCATTTTGAGTTTTCTTTTGTGTATGGTAGTGAGAGTTTTGCTTCTTACCAATTTTGATGCCTTTTATTTCTTTATGTTGTTTAATTGCTGTGGCTAGGACTTCCAGTACTATGTTGAATGAAAGTGGTGAAAGTAGACATCCTTGACTTGTTCCTGACTTAAGGGGGAAAGCCCTCATTTTTTCACTATTGAGTATGATTTTGGCTGTGAATTTTTTATATTAGGCCTTTATTATACTGAGACTTTTTATCATGAATGGATGTTGTACTTTGTCAAATGCTTTTTCTGAATCTGTTGAAATGATCATATGGTTTTTATCCTTTTTTCTTATTCATGTGACATATTGCATTGATTGTTTTGCAAGTATTGAATAAATACTACTTGATCATGATGTATGATTTTTCAATTGTATTGACATTGTTTTAAACAATAAATTTTATTTTTAATGGGTGGGCTAATAGTCTATAAAAATAATATATCTACATCCTAATCCCCAGAATCTGTCAATATAAGCTTAACTGGATACGAGTCTTTCCAGATAGAGTTAAGGATCTCAAGATTGAATCACCCTGAATTATCCAAGTAGGACCTAAATCCAATGGTAAGTATTCTTATAAGAGATACAGGAGAGATCATGTGAAAAGGGAAGCAGAGAATAAGTGATATAGCCACAAGCTTAATTATCACAGTGATTGGTCGAAGCCACCAAAGCTAAAAGACATGGAACAGATATCCTCCTAGTTCCGCCAGCAGGAGTATGGCCTTACTGATGTCTAGATTTTAGGCTTCTGGCCTCCAGAACTGTGAGAGAATAAATTTCTATTGTTCTAGTCCACCCAACTTGCATTCATTTCTTACAACAGCCCTGAGAGCTTAATACATTATTTAATTATTTATCTGAAATATGGTTTCATCATGTATTGAATATCTAAGTTATTAGTGAGATATTTTCTTTCTTTTTTTTGGAGGGGGGGTACTAAATCTTTGAAATCTAGTGTATATTTTACAATTACGGTATGTAAGCCACATTGTAAGTATTCACTGGCCACATATGACTGGTGGCTCTAAGCTAGCAATGAGTACTTTATGATATACCAATCACTCTTGCCCCTTCTAGTCTCAAAGGACCTAGCCATCCCATAAACTTTTGTGGATAGCTTTAGAAAGATTTTCCAGTTTAACTTTACCTTTCCTTCTGTGGGTAAAGATGGAAGCAGAACAGCAGCCAGAAACACCACGACTGGGAATAAAGCCATTTCTGGGAAATAAGTCAAAGAGAACAATGGTCTGCATTAAAACATGTAGTACACAGCTCCCTGACTATGAGGAAAAACCAATGTAGTGACCTTGGTTAGTCTAAAGGAACTGTAATTCCGAAATTCATAAAAAATGTAGCAAGAGAAGATCGTTATTTGGTGCCAGTAAAACCATAATGGAACAAACTTTGTCACTGATAGGGACAATAAAAAATAAACTGAAACACTTGACTAATGCTCTTGAAGTATACCTGTATAGGTTAGGGACATGTCATCATATTTCTACCTAGTTCTATTGCTCTTAAATCCATTAAAAATATGGAAAAAAACAAACTTCTTCAGGGTTAATTAATGTACCTCATTAATTATTCATTCTGATTTGGGGGGAGAATTTATTTTCAGTGTACACTATCTCTTGGTTTGCTCTGATCTATAAAAAGTGAAATTGCTTGTTCTTTTACTTATACATGATTCTAATCAAGATTCTAAGGTTATGATTACACAAAAATAAATGTACAAGGGAGCTTGGGTGGCTCAGTCGGTTAAATATCCAACTCTTGATTTCAGCTCAGGTCATGATCTCAGGGTTGTGGGATCGAGCCCCATGTTGGTGACCTGCACTCAGTGTTGTGCCTACTCTTTCTCTCTTACCCTCTACCCTTCTCCCACAGGCTCATGTGCAGGTGTGTTCTCTCTCTCAAATAAATAAATCTACAAAAATAAATATACAAACATTTTATTAGTGGTTATTTTACTGGCAGAAGGATTAGAAGTTATTTTGATTTTATTACTTCTATCTCAAATTTCCCAGTATAAAAAAATAAAATTACAAGTAATATGTTGAAAATCTAGCCTGTTCAAATTTTCTGAATCCATGATTTGATACAAAATTTGTTTAATATCCTCATTAACTTTATAAGAGACACCCAGCATTGGGTTGTCTGTGTTGTCCTTTCTCAGTGTGTCAAAAAAATTCTTTTCTTGATCCTTTAGATGAAGCAATGAGTCCACTCAATTAAAAAAAAAACACTCATCTTCTGGCCATTAGTCATAGAAATTACTCTATAAACTAAAGGAATGATGCATTGGTTTGTATTCTTTGATACTGGTATTCCCAAATTCCTGAAGAGAAAGAATATTCTAATTTATCTGTGGTACTTCTTAGGCCTTATTGATTTGTAAACAGTAGACAATTGATACCTGTTCCACATATTCCCTTATTCCTCAATAAAATGCTCAAAAAAGGGAGAAGATTAAACATTTATTGACCATGTAATGCAAAATTTGCTTTCTAATTTCATCATCATTTCTTGGTGGGTATGACTATATTTTACAGATGAAGAAATTGAGGGTTAGAACAATTAATTTACCTATGCCAATGGTAAGTTCTTAAGTAACTTCAGAAATTAGCTTTCAAGTATAACATCAAAATCAATGCACATTGAAAGGAACATAGTTTCACCTGAGAAAAGCAATCTTTTTGTAGTACACTGGAGGCACTCTTTCCTTATTTTAACAATCCCTGAATTAATACATAGCCATTCATGTTCACAGTAAAAATCATCAATGTGAAAGTATGTATAATATATACAATTTGTCATCCTTTTACATGTCTTCTAGTGAAGGTAGTTCTAAAATAATTGTTTCAAAGTTGTAAACATGAGAATTATTTATATTACCTATTTTAAGATGAACTATAAAGAATTAAAGTTTCAACTTGATAAAGTGAGTAAAGAGTAAAAACGGATTCTCTTAATAAAGATTTACCCATAAAGTTTTGAAAATCATGGATAAATGTATTAAATATATAATTTGAGCATTGGCAAAACGTAAATGACTAGAAAATAAAATATTCACATTAGAATAAATGAGTTATCACTTACTGTTTGTTATCAGAGCAGGATGAAGTGTTTGCTTTATCTGAAGAAAGAAGGAAGGTGGAAAGGAGGTTAGAGCACAATATATGTTACATCTTTTCTGTTTTAGAAAATTCAGGTTGTGCAAGTAAATCTAAGTCAATAATTTCTGAAACAGAATTTTTCGTACTAGTATCTTCAAATTTCATTGCTAGTTGGCTATCATGGCTTTTGACATTATTTAGTTTTCATATAGCTTGTTTTTAAAGTTTTAAAAAGACAAACCTTACTGAGATATAATTTACATACCATACAATTCATTCACTTAAAGTGTGCAATTCAATAGTTTTTGCATTCCATTAATTGTTACCTATTGCTTTTTTTGAAAGTAGATTATGTTTATTCAGTCACTGTACTAAAACATAAGCAAATTTTAGAATACACTATGAAAAGAGTTTGAAACTGATTTCAAGGTGGCGATAGATTTCATCACTCAGCTTCAGTCTTATTCTTCAAATTTATTTTTATATTTAACTTAGTCTCAATTCTACCATTTACTTTTTTCACAATACTGGCAGGATTTTATTTCTTATCCTTTAGAAAAGCATTTCCAAAGACTGATACACATATCACTTTACTTTTTTAAACTTTAACTCTAAATTTAATTTAATTAACACATAACTGTATTATTAGTTTCAGAGGTAGAGTCTACTGATTCATCAGTTGTATACAACACCCAGTGCTCATTACATCAAGTGCCCTCCTTAATGTCCATCATCCAATTATCCTTTCCCCCATCTACCTCCTGTCCAGTAGCCCTCAGGTTTTTTTTTTTCCCTAGAGTTCCTCATCTCTTATGGTATGCCTCCCTCTGTTTTCATCTTATTTTATTTTTCCTTCCTTTCCTCTATGTTTATCCATTTTGTTTCTTAAATTCCACATATGAGTAAAATCAAATGGTATTTGTCTTTCTTTGGCTGACTTATTTCACTTAGCATAATACCCTCTAGTTCCATTCACATCGTTGCAAATGGTAAGATTTCATTCTTTTGGATGGCTGAGTAATATTCATATATACATAAGTCTAGCATCTTTCTTTATCCATTAGTCTGTTGATGGACATCTGGGCTCTTTCCATAGTTTGGCTATTGTGGACATTGCTGCTATATACATTGCAGTGCATGTGCCCCTTCGAATCACTATGTTTAGATAAATACCTTTAGATAAATACCTAGTAGTGCAATTATTGGGTCATAGAGTAGCTCTATTTTTAACTTTTTGAGGAACCTCCATACTGCTCCCCAGAGTGGCTGCACCATTTTGTATTCCTACCAACACTGTAAGAGGGTATCCCTTTCTCCACATCCTTACCAACATCTGTTGTTTCCTGAGTTATTCATTCTAACCATTCTGACTGATGAGAGGTGGTATTCTAATTAACATGAGTTAATACAGCATGCCTTCCCTCCCTAACCAGTCCTCCTCTCTTCCCAGACACACTAAAATCTAGATACTGCTTTTTTGGCTTAGTATTTTTATAATAACCACTTAAGACTTGTTAATCATTGTGAAGGTAACCAGGATCCTACCTCACAGCTCAATTCCTGTGGGTCAGCATTCCTTTACTTCTCAGTTACCAACTTTCTATGACTTATTGGTTAAGAGCATAATCTTTGGAAGCCATCAGTTTTGGGAAATCCTGTTTCCATTTTCTCTTTTGTAAAATGTGGATTAGCATATCAATAGCTTTGCTTTGAAAAGTGAATGGCATGATATACATAAAGCCCCTAATACAATGCCTGGCATATAATGCTCAATAAATGGAGATTATTAATATTTTTATTATGATCCTTTATAATGTGTAGTGGTTTGCTGGTTTCATAAGATCTTTTTATGAATGCATGTTGTTTGATTAAATTGGTAATTTTAGAAGTGTCTGTAAGATCTGTTTTTACTTCCAGGTTTCATAGGAAAAAAAATCAGCATAATCTAACTGGAGATTCAAATATTCAAGGCCCAGTTCTACTGTAAATCCTCTGGATAACTTTAAGAAAATGATCTAGCATTTGGGCTGTCATAGTCTCACCAGTTTATTGACAGACATACCTATTAGCCTGATAATTTTGTAGAGCTCATTCAATGAGATTGCAATCATTCATTGGGATTCCACAATTCAACAGACCAAGATGTCATATATTCCTCCCTACCAGTCTCCTTTTTCCCTATCCCCATTCACTCAACCTATACTCACGTTTGTTGCGTCAGCGAAAACAATGACAAAACCCACATTCATACGTGGATGGAACTGGAGGGTATTATGCTGAGTGAAGTAAGTCAATCGGAGAAGGACAAACAGTGTATGTTCTCATTCATTTGGGTAATATAAATAATAGTGAAAGGGAATAGAAGGGAAGGGAGAAGAAATGTGTGGGAAATATCAGAAAGGGACACGGAACATAAAGACTCCTAACTCTGGGAAACGAACTAGGGGTGGTGGAGGGGGAGGAGGGCAGGGGGGGGGGTGAATGGGTGACGGGCACTGAGGGGGACACTTGACGGGATGAGCACTGGGTGTTATTCTGTATGTTGGTAAATTGAACACCAATAAAAATTAATTTATTAAAAAAAGAAATAAATAAAAAAAATAAAAACTTAAAAAAAAGAAAAGTTGGCTGCCATTTTTCCCCCTTGCTACTTATTAATGGAAAAGTACCGTGCCCTTTCTTACAGGTGTTTTAAGACTGAGATGACATGGTTCTAAGGTGTCTGTAGGAAAATCATGGTGTTCAGTTTCATAATCCTAGAACAAAGAAAAAGACAATATTTAAAATAAAGATGGGAAGAATATGGTAGTATCAATAATCTCTGTCCCAAACTTCAAAGTTTATTGTGTTCTAGTATTACTCTAATATTTTCCTGTAATTTTTTGATCTCACCATTAAGACCATAATATCTTTCTGAGATCAGATTATGTTTTGATGTCTTGGTGTTTCCTTTAAATAACAAAGAAGTGGGCTTCTTAAAGAAGTTCATTTGACTTTCTTAGAATATCACTGCGTATTTTCCAGACTTCCAAATACTTATACACTTAAATTTTTTTTTAAAAAAACTACTTATTTATTTAAAAAGGAGGGTGGGAGACAGACA